TTTCTTAATGTTTATTTCTGGCTTAAGAACAATTATGAAACATTTTGTTATTTTTTTTGTTTTATCTTTATTAATTGTTAGACCGTCCTTCCGGAAGTGATGTGTGGTCAGGGTGGTATGGGGAGACAGCGTTCTGTCCCTCATTGCTGATTTTCAGCAGTCCGGTGGCCATCTGAGGTGAAAATCAGTCCTGGGCAATCAGTGAAGAAGAGAGGAACCTTCGGAAATGAAGTGGGAAGGTGCCATTCCCAGCATCGCGAGTGAAGGAGCACTCAAATCTGGAGCTGAAGAGATCAGTCTTGATAGCCGATACAGAGACCTGATGTCCTGCAAGAAAGGAAAAGGAAGCGAAGAGTGAGAATGATGTGGTATAAGCGGTGAGAGCAAAGAAGATCAGAACTGTCGGTGTTAGAGAAAATGAGCCCAGAGGATTAACAGTGAAAGTGAAAGCTCAAAGCGGCACATAAACAATAAGAATGGAGAGGAGAGTGGGAAAGGGAGAGGATGAAAGGTGGTGCCAGCAATAGCAAAGTAAAGAACAATGAAGAAGTGAAAGTAAGAGACTGAAAGTGAGCTGCGTGAAGAGGAGAAAGTGGACTGATTGGAAGAGAGGGGTTGATCTTTTTGAGTTTTTGAAGAGACAACATTGTAGCAACAGAAAAACAAAGAAACAGAAAAAAGGACTAAGGAAACAAAAGTGACAGTGCAAAATTTGGAGTTTTATTTTTCATCAGTAGAGGTGCACTATTTTCATGAAGTGATGTTGGTCTTTAGCCTTAAAGTAAACTACCAGAAAAATGGTTGAGCTTGTTATTGAAAATACTTGTCATCCTTTACTAATACTATGAAAGTGAGTTCCAAATCTCATTTATTAACCATTCATTCTCCGTTGATATTTTCTTCTTCTGTATTTCAAGTTAGGAAGACTTTTTTTTTTCATTTCCTGGAGACTGGGAGTAAAATAATGAAAGTTTTAATGTTTTTATCCCTAATAATTTGTTTACTTTTTGACTGCCTTTTTCTTATTCTTCTTCAAGAAGCTCCACAAATTTCTTCAAGGGATTTCTTTTAACAATTCAGCTGGAGAGTCTTCTTTAAAAACAGAAGGGAAAGTCAAGGTGGTTTTGACATTGTCAACATGATCACTTTTCTGAACAGATCTTTTCAGAGAGTTAAAGTTGGAGAGTTAATGTCCAATGCTCCAGAAGGAAAAGAACTCATCATTGAGAAGAAGACAATTCTATGGCACAGTGGTTTTAACCAGGTAGGCAATCACGATTATATAAAACCTGCATGAATTGCACTTTGATCCATTGTGATCTGATTATTTTTGTCTTTTAAACCATATTGAAGATAGTCACTTTCCAAATCTGATTTCTGTTGTTGAAAGGGGAATAAAGGCATGTTCTGTACAAAAGTTTATGACATTCCCAACTAGATCTATGATTTTAAAACCAAGTTTACATATATGGGTTACAATTCCATTTGAAATTACAAGGATCATATCATTTCCATAACATGTTGCCATTGTGCCAATTTCTTTAAGCACACATCCTCTCTTCAAGTCGTCTTACACATCCTTATAATTTCAATATCTTTTTAATGCACAGTATAAATCTCAGTTGATAAATCTCAGTATAAATTCAGCAGCCTTTGGGAAGTAAAATATTATCTGTCCCCATTGTTAGGGATAACATTGTTTACCCTAACTGGTTTGGGTAAAAATAATAAATAAGGTATCATGGTTTGTTTGTTAAAGTGTGTGTAACTTTAACAGCAGGAATGTAATTAAGGGAGTGGTTGTAAAAGCACTATATAAGAAGCGAGGCAATTGCAGCTCTCTCTCTCTCTGGCCTACTGATCCCTAATTACTGGATGGATTGATGACTGCGTTCTTGTAGGAGTGTTGATTTTTCTCAACGGAGAGAAGATAAGATTGGACTGATTTATTGTAAGTGTACTGACATTGGCTATTCAACACGGACTTTTGCAAATAGAGTATCCCCGACAAGACTTGACTGAAATTGATATATGACTAATGGACCATTTATTTTGACTATGCTATAATTCTTAAATGGAATAAACAATATTTTGATAGCACAAGCGTATCTGTATTTTTACTGCGTGTTAACTAGAAAACTTATCTCACACATTTACCTGTCTTCCTATCTGACTTCGCTGCACATTCTGTTTAGTTTGTTTTCCTTAACACCCGTTGGGGAATCCAGGCTTAACACCCATAAAGGAAAAAAATCAGAAACTGTTTTAAAGATCTCCTTTTTGAAGCCTTTTATGAGTATTTAGTCTAATGTGCTTATCTCCAGAAAAACATGATTGTAAGCAAATCTCAATCTATACTTAGCAAGAGATTGAAAATTAATATTAGCTTGCACTGGTAAAGGTGGCTTTCAACTTATTGGTATTTGATCATGTTCCAATTAGAAATATAATGGCAGACCCTCACATTTTGCTGAATCCCAAGGGGCTATAGAAAAATATACTTCCCAGGCTGAAGGCAAGAATGCACAGTTACACAATCAATATGCAGAAGGCAAAAAAAAGAAACAATGGATGGAAACTAATCAAGGAGAGAAGCAACCTGGGATTAAGGACAAACTTCCTAGCAGTAATGACAAATAACCAGTGGAACAGCTTACCTGAAGAAGTTGTACATGCTTCATACTAGAGGTTTTAAAGAAAAAAATGGGTAGTCACCTACCTGAAATGGTATAGCTTGAGCAGGGGGTTGAACTAGAAGACCTCCAAGGTACCTTCTAGCTCTACTTTGATTGATGTATTTGGCAGTTAAGTATCACAGCCCTTTATGGCTAAATTGTGTTCACACATAAAAGCAGTGGACACCTAGCTTATCCAAACCATGAAGCTAATATCAGGAATTATGAAATTGATGGCTTCCAAATGGCCAGTGCTATCTAACATACCATCCAAAAACCTTAGAAGAAAATCAGCTTTAGAAATGGAGAGGAAAAATGTGAGGCAAAGCTAATTATTACTCGTACACGTGGATTATCATGATCAAATATTTAGTCTCATATCTCGTAATTCACCATGAAAACTTGGACAGCAATAATTTCATCCAAACCAAGATTGGCACCTGAAAAACAAAAGGTCGATAATACTAAATATGACAGTGAGAATGTCCTGCAAGTTTTACATCATATTGCGATGAAGTGCCCCATTGAAGGTTCCCTGAAAGAACTACATCATCTTGAGAACATTGCTTTCCAAAGGCTAAATAGCCTAGATATAGGCCATAGGCTTAGGTACTCTAACAAATACTCATGCATACTTTAATTTTTTAAAATAATTTTATTCGTAATTCATATTGTGAATTTTAAAAATAATTCACTGTTCTCATGTTTTATACTTTGATACATATTTTATATGCTGTTTTGTGAATTTTATGCATTAATGCTTTATTCCAATGTTTCTCAAACTTGGCAACTTTAAGCTGTATCAACTGCAACTCCCAGGATTCTCCAATCAAAAGAGAAGACTGGCGAATTCTGGGAGTTGGTCCATATAGTTTTAAGTTGTCAAAGTTGAGAAACATTGCTGTATTCCCTTATGCCATAAGAAATAAATCAATAAATAACCCCAATTAATTATTTAATTAACTCAAAACAGATTATAGTCATCTCATTTAAACTCAGTATTCTTGGGGAAAATATAACTGTCACATGATACAATACACTTTATTAGTCGTTTCTTAATGTTTATTTCTGGCTTAAGAACAATTATGAAACATTTTGGGAAAAAGATACATCCCATTAACCCAGCACTGGAGGACAAAATGGAGAAAATCTCCACAGCCACCATGGCTTTTCCATTGGTACTCAGATAGGTTGGAACAAAGGAGATCCACACGCTGCAGAAAGCCAACATGCTAAATGTGATGAACTTGGCTTCATTAAAGGTGTCAGGTAAATTACGGGCAAAGTATGCCACAATAAAGCTGACAATAGCCAAGAAGCCCAGATAGCCCAGTACACAATAGAACATGAAAATGGAGCCTTCATTGCATTGTAAAATCATGGTTTCTATAAGGGAATTCATGTCTAACTGAGGAAATGGAGGAGATTTTGCCAGCCACAGAATGCAAAGACCTGCTTGAAGAAAAGAACAAGAAAGAACAATGGAAAGAGCCAATCTTTTCCCCACCCATTTTCTCATTGAAGAACCTGGCTTAGTAGCCATAAAAGCTACAACCACGGTAATAGTTTTAGCTAACACACAAGAAATAGCAACTGAGAAGATGATGCCAAATGCTGGTTGACGGAGAAGGCAGGTTACTTTCTCTGGCTGACCAAGGAATAACAAGGAAGCTAAAAAGCATAGTAAGAGGGCAATAAGGAGAGTGTAAGTGAGGTCCCGGTTGTTGGCCTTGACAATGGGGGTATCTCTACACTTAAGGAAAATTACAAGCACACTGATTGTCATTAAGGAAAAGAAAAGAGCAGCTGAGGCCAGACTGATTCCTAAAGGTTCTTCAATGGACAGGAAACTCATTGTTTTGTTAAGGCATCGATCTTGCACTTTGCTTGGATACTGATCCTCAGGACATTTGAAACAATCTTCTGTGTCTGGATAAAAGATATCAAAAAGAAAATCATTTATTTATTTATTTCTGAAATGTTCTGTTGTTCTGCTTGGAAACTGACATTCCTTCTGATCTCACTTAGCCATGACTTGCTTTCTAAGCAGAATTTCTGAAATTTAAAAAATAAGGTGGGTTATAATCTCCCCCCTCTCTCTCTGCCAATTTTACAACATTTATATGGATATTTTTCAATTTTCTTCCAGTTCCACCTATTATAATGCTTTGGATGACTACCATATAAAAGGTGGCTGGGCCGAAATTTGACTTTGATCACTATGTAAACCTTGGTTTTGTAGGTGACATCTTCTGGAACCCAAATAAATAGTTTGGATTTTGAATTCTGGGATAAAAATGCCATATGAGAAAAGATGGCATATATGGATGCTGTATCCTACAAAATATAGTATTCTCAGATATGAGAGATTATTAATAACTGAGATTATAGGGATTACACTTGTTTGTTGCTTTAAATGGTGGGAAAATCTCATAGTTAGTAAGAAATAGAACAAATTGTAATTTTTGACAGAATAATTTATCTGCAGCCATTGTCTCCAAAAATAGAAGAACTTTATAACTGACCTGTCTTGCTTGAAATCTTCCCCTCTGGACAGGGAATACAATCATAGCAACAAAAGGTTTTCTCTTCAGATTTTCTCTTCCAATATCCGGGATGACAGTATTGATTGCACAGAGAAACTGGAAGAACCTGTTCATAACAATGAAAAATGTTGAACAATTAGTTATCAAGTTGTTAAGTTTTTCATCATTTGAAAACAAAATCAATTAATAATCCTATAAAGAGAATCATGGCCAACAGAAATTCACTGTAGACATTATAAGTGATTTCCCCCTGTCCCCCCATTTTTTCATTTTCCATTTCCAAGGAAGTTGTAAAAATATAAGCATTCTACATGCTTGTATTCCATACCAATTAAAACCTTTCTGCCATTCAATAATTGCATTTGAAATTTGAAAGGCATTTGAAATGCTTATTCTTCCAAAAGAATAAAAAACTGGAAGACCTGATCAAAGGGATTCACCAAGTTTTTCTCAATGGGTATAAGGGGGGAACATAACACATGTTTTAGGAAAATGTGTGCCATAATCTGATCCATTGAAGAATACCCATACCTGATTAAAATCTTTGTGCCATGCAATCAAATTTTCATTAATAATCAATTCATTTCCATCTGGAGCATTGGGATCTAATCTTCCAACTTTCACTCTCTGGATTGATTTGTTTGAAAAGATGATCATGTTGATGATGTCAAATCCTCCTCTAATTTCCATCTTTTCATTAAAAGACATACTTTCTCCTGCTGAGTTGTTGAAAGAAATGCCTTGAAGAAATGGGTGCAGCTTCAGAGGAAGAGATTGAGGGAGGGGAAGGGGAAGGAGTAGGGAAAGAAGAGAAGAAGAACGAGAAGGAGAAGGAGAGGAGGAGGAGGAAGTTTAAAGAATAATCAGTTAAATCATTCTAAGGAACATTTCCCCTTTTTTCCAAATTTCTTTATGCAGCTTGACGCAATAAATATCAAGAATTAGCCTGAAGAGCATCACTATATACAGTAAGGAGCACAATGCTATCCATTCTCATAGATATAAAAAAGTAATGTATTACTGTGAATAATATTTCACATGTTCTTGGGTAGAAAGTTGAATGTAACCCAAGGGTGGTATTTACTGCAGAGAAATAATACTTTGCTTTGGTATCTATCATATATTGATTGATTTAATCAAAGCTATTTGAATGATATATTGTGATACAAATCATTTTCTAGTAAATTTGTCACTTTTGTTGGACAACTTTACCTTAAAAGGAGGTAGATCTTCAGATTCTGGGATTTTATCCATCAACCTTTTACTGTGACTGGATTCTTTTGATAATAAAGCTTGCAAAGAATGAGCCACAACATAGATACCATTATAGATGCTATAACTATGACCTGTCATTTGCATTTCAAAGAGAGGTCCAGGAAGACTGTCCAGATTCTCCTCCCCAGTACATTTTTTAATGTTAATTGCTGGTGTTTCTGAATTAGAAAAGAAACAGTCAAATGCTTCTTCCCAAAACCCTTTTAGAAATCTATCTCTTTGTCTCCAAAAAGGTTTTACAGACTTCAGAAATTCTTTAAATGTTGGAACTTCACCTGAATGTATCTGAAAAGAAATCGTCCCATCGAACAATTGGAGGTTCCACTTTTTTAGATTTCCTGTTAGTATGAAGTCCACTTGACTTGTAGTGATCCATACCTTTCTAAGGGATGCATTTAATTTATCTTCAGGATCACTTAGAAATATGGGAGATGTGAGCCAGAGGAGTGTATAAGACTCTCCATAAAGAATAAATACATTTGCTTTAATGTCTGTGAGATGTATGTACAAACTTTTCATTTTATAGCTAAATGTTTGGATGTCATCCAATGGAAGCAGCAGGGGTATTCTTTGTATGAAGGCTGGACAGATTCCATGCTGGGAAAGCATCACTTGTATCTTCTTCAAAAAGTGTTCTCCACTCTCATTTTCAACGGCAAAGAGTCCTATCCATTTCCATCCAAAATGTTGAAGCAATCGGATAATTCCAATATATACAAGACCTTCATTTGGTGTCATAAAATAAAAATAAGAAAAATTGTTGATATGAAATTCTTTTGGGGGAAAGGATCCATATGGGATCTAAAAAAAAGAATATTCAACAGAAGTTTTAAATAGTGTGTTTTGTTTTGTCTCTTCCTCTTCATGAATTAGTTTAAAAGCTGCTCAAATGAAATTATTACTTTGTTTCATTTATATTTCATTTTTTCCTAGACTTCTTATATCTGATAGAATGGAATAAAACAGAATTCTTTATTGGCCAAGTGTGATTGGACACATAAGGAATTTGACTTGGTGCATATGCTCTCAGTGTACATAAAAGAAAATTCATCAAGAGTCAAGAATCATAAGGTACAACACTTAATAATAGTCATATCCCACTGATACAAAGATTCCAGTGCAACATTGCTGAAATTATGAGAATACAGCAAAATGTCAGGGTCTGTTATTATTTTTCTAATTGGAACATGATCAAATACCAGCAAATTGAAAGCCCCCTTTACCAGTGCAAGCTAACGTTAATTTTCAATCTCTTGCTAAGTATAGATTGAGGTTTGCTTACAATCATGTTTTTGTGGAGATAAAGAAATGAGAATAAATACTTAAGAAAGCTCTTAACCAATTGAGAGCTATAGGGCCTACCTGTGGAATTTTGTAGAACTCTACAATTTCTGACATATGGGATGAAGTATCTGAACCAAGTCCTCCAATGATGGCCATAAGATTTTTCTGAAGCCCACATTTGTAGTTGGGCATAAATCTGTCTGATTTGAAAAGTAAGTCTAGGGTGGTCCGATAAGTCATTCTTGCATTATAGTAGCTGTCATATATATGGAAGCCAAGGGTAATATTTGACAGGATTTCTGAATTCTCATTGATTTCTTTGACAGCAAAGGCCAAGGAAAGGAGATGTTGGTAGAATTTTGTAATCATACTGTAATAAAGAATGTCTTTTAGAAAACAATTCTGTGGTAAATGGATTAGAATAGCCATTTGTATTTGTGATTGGAATGAAAAAATATTAAATTCCTTCAATACTGCTTCAAAGTATCATGGTTTAGGATTCTGTTGTGCCTTACACTGTATCATAGAAGTCATTCATTAAAAATACAGTAATTTATATTTTTAGATTTTCTATTAATGGCCAATGACATGGATGGTGTGTTCTGTTTCAGAGAGAAGAAACTTAATTTATTCCACTTCTTTATTTTACTCTTCTTTGAGCAACCTTTGTTCTTCCTTTTCCTTCTTTTACTGAGAAAATGTGTTATTAGTGAAAAACAATTTTCCATTTTTGCATTGCTTTTATGGGGATGAGTGATCATTTCTATACATTTATTTCTTATATTTTGAATTCCTACTTTATGTATTTGCAGTGCTCTTCAGAATACTTAAGCTATTTCCTAAGCTTATAACAAAAGATCTGCAAAAAATAACCAAGCTTAGACAGCACCAAAGATTGTACAATTTATACCTGACCTATATATGCTCTCTCTCATCAGTAATGTAGGTATTCATTTGACATTCAAATTCATATTTGTATCACTTTTTCAAAATAGTATAAATACTCTCTCATTCCTATAGAAACATAGGATCTGAAATCTCAGAAAAAAATCAAGAAATGCTTTCACTGACATGATCTCATCTGCCATCCTTGAGACCATTGCGAATCAAAGGAACTGAGGCGAATATCTTAAAAAGTAAAAAAAAAGTTATCATTAGATAAGGAAAGGTATGGGATTTGCTTACTCTGAAAGCCCATATAGCTCCTGAGAAGGATGTTCATAAAATGAATGCTCACTGAATGCATACATTATCTGTGAAGCCATTCCTCCAATGAGGACATCACCTGGTTGGTACCATTCATGTGGAACTGGAAAAAGATCAACCTCTGGACATTTGAGTGCATTCACTTTCATCACCAGGAAGATCAGAAAGAACAGTACATCAATAGCTAAGAAATCTTCTAAAAGAAGTCTCCAACGTATCAACCCACACCAATGGATTAGACTTAGCATCCTGGATTTTCCAACACACCTTCTAGGAGGATAACATCAATCTGAATCTTTAACTTTAATGGAGATACAGAAATAAATAATGACTGAGATTTCTACAACCGAAATTTGAAATTGGTTTGATAAATAAAGAACAGATGTTGGAAATAACAAACCTAATAGCCCTGTTTGACTCTTCCCATCACCTCAAGCTCATCATTGAATTGGAGTTAATTTATAACCTCTTTCAGCCATGCTTTCCAGTGTTCACTGCTTTCTTGAAAATCTCTGGAGTTTTAAGCAGATAAACCCATTAGAGTAATTGGGAGTCTTCAAAGAAAAGTTAATTAGCTACAGAATAATAAACAACATGTGCAATAACAAATCATTATTTAGCTCAGCATAGAACCCCTCTCCCCAAAAAACATTTTTTCTCAGAAAGGAATCATGGTTCAGATTTCATTAACCATTGCAGTATTTCGAGCCACTTACAGAAAAACCACTTTTCTAATTTGTGTAAGTCAGACTGGTGGAAATTAACAATCACAATATGAATTTCTATCTCTTTTCCTTTTCTTTGGAAGATCTGCCAAGTTATAAGTAAGCAATTTTAAAGAATTAAATATCTGATTTTCTCTCTGCTTTTTTAAAATCCTTCCTTGAGGTCCATCTTGTGTCATGAGGATCAGAAATAATGACATCTGGAAAAAGTTTAAGCCTATTCTACAAACATACTGAGGTCTACATCACTACTAGTAGCTATTAATTGCACTGGGTACATGAGCTTCTAAGAAAAGGCTTAGAATTGGTTATCTGAATCTACCCCTAAGATGGTAAAATATAGTTTCATCAAAGCTTCAAAACTATGCCGCCATTGCTTTGGACAATTCCACGAATGAGTATTCACTTTACATTGCATTTGAATATCTTTTAACTTTTATTGTTACCCTATCAAATGATAGTCTACAGCATATTTCTTGAGTGCTGATTTCTTTATTGTTCCTAGTTGATGTTAAGAGAAAAAAATATATATCCACAGCTGCAGTATTTTGTTTATCTTATTAAGGCTGCCACAAAGAAGATGGGAGTCAACTTATTTTCCAAACCACCAGAAAGTAGGACAAGAAATGTTAATTGACTGGGGACGGGTGATCATTTATTTATTCAATCTTTTATCACTTCCCCATCATAGCAAGTTCATTCCATCCTTAGAAGCTTCAGCGATTCTTCTTTTAAAAGTAACAAACAAAACACTACACCTTGATATATCCACAATTTATTTTTTCACAATTCCATGGAAAGGTTACAGAGGAACAATGTATACCAAAGCAAATGTTATAAATGACAAGTATATGTGTCAAATAAAGGATGAGACAGAATACGTCTCTGTCAGTATAGCAAGAAACCACGAAAGAGCTTAGATATCCTTTGAGTCAATATCTGAAATCTTTTAAGAGTATCTAAGAAATCTAGATTCTAAAAATCTTCTTGAGGTGAAGTGTTGAAAGGGTGGAACAATCTTCAAAAATATTTGAAAACGCAGCAACATGAACACTTCTTTTTTAATGGGTGACATTAATAAATCTTAATAATCATAATAACTTCCAAAAATCCTCCTTTCACAGAAATAACTTCTATATATTTCATATACGTAGCAAACATGATTTTTATTCTTCTTTGTCAGTATAGCAAGAAACACTATATGATATGTACTAAGTCCTCTTTATGAGTAGCTCCCTGTGGTTTAGCTGAGGCCTGAAAATAATGATGTAGCACTTTGGCAAAAATATGCATCCCAGTAATGCAGCTCTGGAGGACAAGATGGAGAAGACCTCCACAGTGACCATGGCTTTTCCTTTAGTACTCAAATAGGCTGGAAAGAAGGACATCCAAACACTTTAAAAGGCCAACATGCTGAAGGTGATGAACTTGGCTTCATTAAAGCTGTCCGGTAATTTACAAGCAAGGAAAGCCACAATAAAGCTGGCGATGGCCAAGATACCCATGTAGCCCAAGACACAGTAGATGAAGAAAGTTGCCCCTTCATTGCATTGTAAAATCATTTCTTGTGACTCTGAGTGCATGTCCAACTCAGGGAATGGAGGAGATGTTGCCAACCAAAGAATACAAATACAGATTTGTAAGAGAGAGCAGGAAAGGACAATAGACAAGGCCAATCTTTTCCCCACCCATTTCCTCCTCTGAGATCCTGGTTTAGTGGCCATGAAAGCAACAACCACAGTGATGGTTTTGGCCAGGACACTAGAAATGGCTATTGAGAAGATGATTGATTGTTGGAGAATGCAGGTCACTTTGCCAGGATGGCTGAGAAAGAACAAAGAGGAGAGAAAATGGAGCAGAAGAGAGACAAGCAAGGTGTAGGTGAGGGACCTGTTGTTGGCTTTGACAATGGGAGTATCCCTGTTTTTAATAAAAGTTCCAAGTACCCACATTGTGAGGGGAAAAAAACAAAGAGCAGTTGAGGCTAAACCAATTCCTAGGTTTTCTCCAATATTTAGAAAGACTACTAGTTTCACAATGCATTCTATCTTTTCCTTATTTTGATAGTGATCTTCTGAACATTCAAAACAGTCATTCATATCTGGGGGGAAAAGTCAAGGAATTTGTCATTTATGCATTCCCTATTTCTTAATTTTATTGCAGAGTGGGAGACACATGTTATTCTTTTTGAGTTCTTTCTCAGTTTGATTGTGTTTCTATGTAAGCACATTTAATTATATTATGTCATTAAAGATTGACATAAATGCAATTACTCTTAAAATGCAATTTTCTTCCTAAAGAGTGAGTAAACTAGGAAACATCAGTATTTTTATTTTGAGAAAAGATGTGGTTTGACAAGCAAGAAAAAATACTATTGATTTACTTTCAATATCTCTGTTGTTCATTTGCTAAGTCATGTCTGACACTTCACTACCTCATGCACCATAGCATATCATCCTCCCCATCCTCCACTGCCTCTCTGAATCTGCCCATTGTGTCAATGATACTATCTACCCATCTCATGCTCTTAAGTCCCATTCTTGTTTTGCCTTCAATCTTTCCTATGAGTCTTTTCATTTGGTAGACAAAATATTTGAATTTCAGCTTCAGTATCTGTCCTTCCAAAGGATAGTCAGTGTAAATTTTCTTTAGGATTGAACTTTCAATATAGGAAATGTATATTACTGTGGTCCATTAATTTTGTCCTGACTTTTATGACGCTTCTATGTTCTATGAGGACAATATTAGTGGGTAGGTGGATGGATAAAATCTAATGGATAAAACAAAGGAGGGATGTTAAAACAATGGATGGAAACTAATCAAGGAAAGAAGCAATGTGGAATTAGGAGAAACTTCCTAACATTGACAACAATTAACCAGTGGAACAACTTGCTGTCAGAAGTTGTTCATGCTCCATCACTGGAGGTTTTAAAGAGGAGACTGGATAGCCACTTGTCTGAAATGGTATAGAGTCTCCTGCTTGAGCAGCGGGTTGGACTAGAAGACCTCCAAGGTCTCTTTCAGCTCTATATTTAAGGATTAATTGGGTTCTACAGGCAGCCCTCTTATATAAATATTTGATCCATTTACAGATCTTCCCTTGTCTATTGAAGTTTTTTTTTTGTTTCCCTAACTTTCAGGTTTTCATAGAAGATAAAGTCCAGAAAATGGCAGATCAAGTGACAGTTAACAGAATAATAGAGTTGGAAGGGACAGTGGAGGTTTTCTAGTCCAACCTCCTGCTTGGGTATGAAACCCTATGCCATTTCAGAGGAATGGTTGTCCAACTTCTTAATTCACAACTTCAGGAGGCAAGTTGTTCTACTGATTAATTGTTCTAACTGTCAGGAAATGTCTCATTAGTTCTAGTCTGCTTCTCTCATTGATCTTATACCAGCCATGTCCAGGTTTACAAAAAAAAAGATAGATAAATAGATA